TAAAACTTTTTCGTTATTATTGAAAGAGCATAATATTACTAAAATATATGATGCAAAGAAGTTACTACACGTCTTTCAGAACCTTGACTTACATGATTGCTATGAATTATTACATGAGCTACATTGTATATAGACACAGAAGACGTGCTACTGCTTACGTGTGCACATTATCTTAGTAGATTATTATTATTATACTATTATATTATATTAGAGAATGCTAGTACTAGATATTTTTCCTTTTTTTATATTTTAACATCAATCAAAAGTATGTGTGCTTTAACGTATTTCTGTTCAATATCCTATTATAATCTCGAGAGGGCAATCTAGCGATGAACCACTTACCTATATATGTGCAGATTATATTTGATATGTTTATCAAATTGTGATGAACATATATATGTAGCAACAATGCCCACGAGAGGCAATTTCACTTGATATCATATTTGAGATCTATTTCCCCCGGTAAAAATATAATAACATACTGCTTGATATCAAGCTGGCGGGGGCTGGGATCGAACTCGGAACTACTATTTTTTTACACCTACATGGCTTCAAAAATTAATCGACGAACTCTGGTCGATTTAGAATGATTAAATGATGTTTCAGGAACATGTTATATACTTAAGCATTAATTTAGAAATATTTTAAGTATATAATGAAAATTCTCAAAAATTTATATTTTCTACTTGTTTTTTCCATTTTCACTCATAGTATTCGTTTGTGTTGTCATTTGATTTTATGGTAGTAATTTTATAATGAATTTTTATACGTTATAACAGAGTTTATAATTGATAGGATCGGACGTACAAGAAATTTGTAAATAATTTTAAATTTCCACGATAATTTATTGAAAATTATAAATTTTATTTTTGAAACAAAAGTAATTTTTCATAAATCTCTTATTATATACGCCCTTTACTATTAAAAAAATGCAATCAAATCAGTTAAGCAATAAAATTGGTTCAAATCTCTTTCATCGGGAAATCGGAATAATAGAAAAGGCCGTGAGTCATATGAGTCAAACGCGTTATAAGTAATGGGTTTTCCTGGGAAATACTCCTCAATATAAATTTACGAGTAGGAAGCTCGTAAACGATAAAGAAGCTCAGACATGGAAACACAATGGCGTGATATGAGCTTATACCCTTCGATATTCTATATCCACCCCCAGAATCGTAGGTTTACCCACATTTACTATTGCAAATATTACAAATTCACTTAAACTTGGCATGGTATCTTGTAAAAAATACATTTTTGAAAGAATAATTGAAACTAGTGGTGCATGCCATCGTGCCTTAAGGCAAATCGCTGAAACTTTCCGTACCGTAGTAATTAAATGCTTCCAAATAGATTATTATAAATTCTGTAACTTCAATTATTTGTATTTTATAGAGATAATATAAAGCTTATAAATTGGATGTTGATGATTATATATGTTTACATGATAAGTAAATAAACAAAACTTGATCAAGCGGAGTTAGAATGAAGAAACTTATTTCATATTAATAAGAATTATATAAACTGAATTGAAAAGGAAATGAGAAAATTAAAAAATTGAAATAGTTGATGAAAAATTGTATCCACACATACATACACACACACATCAAATTTTCTAAGTTATGCCAAAATGCTCAGAAACTTTTGAAACGTGAAGATATGCAAAAATGTACATTTTTAATTTTTGGTCACTTACTATAACTCACCCTACGGGAAGTTAATTAACAAAATAAAAATATAAATTCAATTAGCCATGATATTATTTTGTATTAATTGAAATAATGTTGAAATATGCCAGACCAGAACGCCGTATGGCACAATATTTCAACATTATGTCAATTAATTCAAAATAATATCATGGCTAATTAAATTTAACTTTTTATTTTTTCAACTTTTAGTCTTTGTTCTGGAAACAAAGTTTTGTATGCCTCATATTGCTCCTAATATATCAATTAATTTTACATTACATTTATTTGTTTCAATCACTATTATTCGTTATGATTTACAAAATAAAGGTTCATCGAATCAAATAATTCAGCTGTATTTTTACTATAGTTTATCAACTTCTCGAACATATATTCAACTTTTTGCCACAAGTGCAATTAATTTATATGGGAGTAAACTTTTATATGCTCAACTGAATTATTTTTTATAATTTATTTTATTATTGAACACATCATTCAACTCGTAGAATTTTTGTGTTTTTGGAACATATAAGCATGTAGAATATGAACTGAAATCGGCTCAATTGATGAAATTATTATTATGACATTGATACTTAATTGAGATATCAATACTATGATTATTTTGTGATATAAGCTTTTTATTCTTATTACAATGCTTTATTTTACTTGAATTGCCTGACATGCCATGCGGTGTAATTCGGTAATCTAATAATCGTTTCAAAACGATCTCTTTAATATAATTCCGATTGAATTACTCGGCACATTAAGCAAATGGTGATACCGTTGCCATATGCATAAATTTGTCAATTAACGCATAAATTTCATTTCAACATTAATTAAACATACATTTAGCATATCTGTATTAATGAGCCGTAACAACGGTTACGCAAAATGAATTCTGTTTCATGCGGATCACTCTCAAATATTTAACTGCGCTATCGGAAATGAGAAACAACTTATATTTGCTTTTCTATTATAATAATAGACGTTCTCAAAAGTATAATTGCTCTCCATAATATTTATTCTAATTATGAACAATTGCACTAACTATTCTGTACATCGAGTATGATAATATACGCAGAGAAGATAACAGAAAAGCTGGTTTTCTAGTTAGGATTTTGAATCGATCTTCAACATTTGAATATGTTATTATAATATAATTCATGTTATTATATATTTATTAATTAATCAATTTATTTATATACACGAAAATCGTCTAAAATATTATAAATTTTTAAATTATTACCACAACTTTTAAATTATAGTAGTTTATAAACAAAAATAGTTCTAAACAATACTAAAGCAATTGATGTATTCGTTTACATACTGGGTATCCCAGACCTTGACGTCAAGCCGAAATGGAGTGATAGTATTGACCTTCACTATCCTGAAAAAAATTAGGAAAAAAATATATCACGTTGTTTGGAAATAATGAGCTTTCACATGCTACTTAGTACTTTGGTGAAGTTATGATCGTTTTTTGGTTAATGTGATTAACTGTTCTCAATTTTGTTTGTTTAAACTTTGGAACCATAACCGTGAATACCATTTCTAAGACCGCAGTCAAAAATAATAACATAATTTCCCCCTGTTTTCAACAATTAACCCTTTTCACTCGCCAATTCGGAAATTATTATGTATTTTGCCGCCGTTTAGAGGAGCGGAAGGAGAATTTTTAAAATTGTTGGACTTTGGGTGGCCCTCCTTCAGAAAAAGTATTAAAGTAATATACTTGATAATTTTATTATTGAACAATTTCGAGTAAAAAATAAAAATCTAAAAACGACATGATTTTAGATAAAAAAATAAAGTTTCTCTCTCGCACGTTGAAGGTTACTCGTACGATGATTAGAATTGTGAATAAAATGTACTAGCAAAAAAACATGTCATTTTTAGGTTTTTATTTTATTACTTAAGTTTAAATGAACAAAGTTAATAAAAGTTAACTACAATAAACCAAAAGGATGCTAATTTCACCAAAACTCTAGGTAACTAGAACCTAATAGCACTAGGTTTAAAAGCTCATAAATTCCAAACAACGTCAGATAATTTAAAAAAAAAATTTCAGGGCATAGTTAACGTCAATACTATCATTCCGTTTCGTCTTGACGTCAAGGTCTGAGATAACACCCTGTGTACAAATTACATTTTTACGTAATAATAATAATTTAGATAGGGTAGAGCGGGGCTAGTTGAGCAAATTTTTACTTAAACGGATGTAGCTCCTCAATGAAAAGTCTCAATAAATTGCTATACGACTTAATGGATTTGTTGTTTATCGCTTAACAAAAGTATTAATACTATTTATTGGTAATAAGCAAAATTTGAAAGCTACAGCTGTTTAAATGCAAAAAATCAAGTACGCTCAATGTACTAAGCACTAAGAAAGTATAATAAAATCATAGGTTCAATGTCGATTAGTGATGAAATAAAATAAAATTTTAATAACCAGTATTATATTTGTAGTCTTTATTGACAGAGAAAACAAAACTTATAGTAATTTGCTTTGAATAATTAACGAAAAGTAGAATCAACAAAACAATATTGTATCTTAGGAATTATTTTACTATTATATTCAGTATTTTTGTTTAAAATCATTATTTCTTTATATTATTACTAATAGACTTAGATTAAATCCTAAAAATAATAATTAATTTCTGGAAGTTAATGGTAATTGTCTTAGTGACAGAACAAGGTTAGCAACTGTGCTCAACTAACCCGAACTCGGAATTTCAAAATAAACGTGAGTTTATAAAAAAAAAGTGAGAATTATACCCAGAATCTCTGTGCATATTAAAAGTACTATAATAATATGGAAGAATACCATTTACCTGATTAAAAATAAATAACATTTGACTAAACCAGACGAAAACTCGTGATGAATTACTTTTTACTTTTTGGTCTCAAAATAAACAAAACGCCCGAGCCTCACTCATTTGTCCAGCGGCCACTAGCGATCGCGGGATGTTTATTTCTCTCAAACCTCTATCTTTGCCCCTATGCTCAACTAGTCCCGCTCTACCCTAATATTTTTCTCATATCCGGTGTAAAAATGTATAACATCAATTTCTTTCCAAACAATTTACGATTCTTAAAATTTTCTGAATATGAAATAATACTGTTAATAATAATCAGTTAGGAAATGCGACACCGAAATCAAATATGATTGTTGTCAATTAGATAATGGTTTGGCGTAAAAACGGCGAAGCGCACCGCTCCACGCGGTCGAATAAATTGCACTCGACAAGGTCCAGCTAGCGCAGGAGGCGACGCGCACCTGAAGCAGGCTAGCAGGACCGCGCCCGTGCCGTTGGTAGCATGGGCGACCTGCAAGCTACATTAGAGTTCTCCGTAGAGTTGTGCAAGTTCTACAATGTCGATCTGTTTCAGAGAGGGTAATAAAAGAACTATTATGTAATATTTAAACATTTTTTCAAATGGAATAAATAAGGCATATTTTTATATGTTTTATTAGGCTGTACCAGGTGCGCGTTTCGTTGCGGGCTAGTTCTCGACCAGCCCCAGCTCAAGTTGAAGCAGCATTACCAGAGAGCGGTGGCGGAGCTGCATGTCTACTTGGAGCAGGCATTGCTGGAAGCAGAACGTTTCAAATATTATATCGGAATGAAGAAGTACCGCTTAGGGATTTGCTGCTCTTTAGAGTACATCTCCTTGGCAAGTTTTTAAGTTGCTCAACTTTTTGTCTGAATAAATAAATATACAAATAGACAAGTTTGATCGAATAAAATATGATAGTTTTAGTGAATTATTGTTTCTGATTGGACACTATCTTGTTTAATTTATATTTATTAATTTATTTTTTATTTTTTCAGTGGACAGTCGGCACGTGACAGAATCTTTAAGACGAGCCGAGTTTTCATTAATTGTTGAACTTTGGTTTGCTGAACAACCTGTGGTGAACGGAGGACCAACGCCAACAACGTTATCTCAGGTTAGAAAACATCAACATTAATTATTGATTTAGAAAACTAAAATTTATTGCTTAAATAATTTTTAATTTTAGGTATCTACGCGCACCCTACAACTTCAAGTATGCCCTTTAAAAGGTCTGCATTATCACTTGCCTATCCTGTTTGATTATTTTCATTTAGCCGCTGTTAGTATGAGCATCCACGGTAGTCTAGTTGCACTTCATCAACCTTATATAAAGTAAGTGTTTCCTGATGATGAAAATTTAATGTATGCATTTGAATAAATATTGAAATATTTAAAAATTTTTGCTTGTACAATAACACAGGAAGAGTATACTGCAATATGTCCAGAGTTGGTGAGTTTACTCAAAATATAAAATTATTTAAGATTGATTGTTTATTTATTTTGGCTTTTTTAACTTTCTACTTATATAAATCTATTTTAAATACGCTTGCAGACATTTTAAGGAATGTATACGTTTTGCATTCTCTAGTGTGTGTACTGTATATGTAATATATATGTACATACATTAGGATAACCTAGCTCTACATGGATGGGTCATATTTCTAAATTATGCATGTTATTTAACTTGGCTTGTAATATCATGACAGCAAGAAAATGTATTATGACAAGTTCGTTATGAATATTAATAGAAATACTAAGAAGGCTTATACATATAAACACAATAAATATTTAACATGTCGTATATTGTGCTTTTTTATCAATATTTTATCCTCAATTTCAATGATAAAATTAATTATTAGTTAATTAATTGACAATAATTATTTAAAATTAATAGCACTTGCATGCGCCTTATTTAATTTCAACATTTAGATTATTGGACATTATTGAAATTTAGATAATTTTTTTTCTCACATGAACTTTTTAGTACGCCACGAAGTAATAAGTCATGGATGGGTTCGAGCAGATTACCATCAAGAGGAACCGCTTTGGAAGGTGTAATGCAAGGAGGAGGCCCTAAGTGCGGTGGAAGCAATACGAAAATCGCTCATGCCAGGTTAATTTTTTTAATTATATCGTAACACTAACAACCTAAAAAGGCACACCTCAGTTATTTGGAACTAAAAAATTTGGAATTATCAATTTATATTTTTAGGCAAGTACATCAAGAAGTGTGTGCGCTTCTTCTCAGTTCATTGGATTCTCTAAGAAGTACAATGGATGATTATGCCAATCTTATGCCGCAGTGGAAAAGACGTATAGAATCAACACCTGCCATATTGAGAACGGATCCGGCACATCGCCTTAAAAAAATGGCTGATCTAGCAAAGGTAACCCATTTAATACCGCAATATAAAGAGAAAATTGTTTATAATAATGTTACACAATTTTTATTTACAATTTCTGAAATTTCAGTTTTTGGATGCCGAAGACGATTTTTTGGCTCGGGCAAACTCAGACATAGCGCAACTTTGCGCCGAGAATATTTTACAATGGCGTTTATTTCTTCAAGCCGCTAGCCAACCTGTTATTCATCAGTTGCTCGCAAAAAGACATCACCAGTTGAGGTATAAAATTGATAAATCATCTTCATCTTACAAAAATTTAATTAATAACACTATTTTTCATATTTATGCTCACTACAGAGTACGTAGATTTGCTGAAGCATTTTTTGTTCTGATTCATCCGCGTCACACAGCAACAACCGCCAGCGATGGAGGACATCAGGCCCGTGCAGCCGTCACGGACCTGGTGCGATCAAGATATTTGCCATCTTTACCTGCTCTTCCTGTACATTGTGCAGCTCTAGACGGAGATCCAGCTGGTATGCCTGTTATATTTGAAGATCGTTATCAACAGGTACCCCATAATAAATTTTAATAATACATCATATAAAGGAAATTAATATCAATTTATTTTCATATTAATAGGATACATCGATATTGAACGAAGATATTAAAGTCAATACAACGGCCCCTGCTGAAGTTTCTATTGACTGTTCGTGCCCAACTCAACCGATTATAGAGCAACCCATTCCCAAGCCTCGCAATATCCATCCAGTTCAACAGTTGCCTTTACAACAACATATCAAATACAAAGTATGCTTTAATAATATTAATAAAAATATTAAATTTTAAACAAATAAACAATGACATTTTTAAAAATAAATTTTTAAGCCTGCTGCAACAATTACTTTGGATGATTTCCAAACTAGTTTAGCATGCAGTACACTGCCTACTCGTCACAGTAAAAGTCTTGACCATTTGAGAAGTACTTCTTCTCTACCAAGAAGAAATGCACCCGCAAGAGTTCGTGGTGGTGTTTCTTTAGATAATGAAGATGAAGACATAACTCGACCTCCTAGGTTCAAACTTTAACTTTTTAAATTATAATACTAACAAGTGATAATTTTATTCAAAGGAATTCTTGAAATTTATTTAGGAACTCATATCCACCGGTAAAGAATAGGTGTAATCAATCGCAAAGTTACGCGCGCAATCATCAATACAAATTTCCCCAAGATGTTTATCTAAACGGTGTCGAATGGCGACGAGAATCATCAAGTAGCGATGATGACACCAATAATAAAAGCAGAATGGGTGCATCAGCCAGTGTACCATTCCGACTTCAAGTATTTATAAACTATTTTTATATAAATTTAGAGGTGCGTAATCAAAACTAAGAAACTAATATACGTTTTATATAGGCACTTTATAGTGGCAGCACAAACGGAACTCAAGTACATAGCGAAAGTCTACCAAATTTACTTAAAGCTGATGGTTCAAGAGAAAATGGTGAAGACGATACTTCGGCATCTTCTCTAAGCGAAAGAAGTGGCTGGGCTTCGTCTTCCAGCGCTGAAGATCGCCGACCCCAAGAAATCCAACAACATAGAAAGTAATATAATTATAATATATCATTTATTTTCTTTTGATATATATAAATACACTTTTTTTTCTTAGATTCAATACACTAGAGACTTCAAATAGTGTGCGTCGACAGCGGCAATTAAACGGCGAACAATTACGAAAAAAATTAGAGCAACTAATGCTTGCTAGCTGTACTCAAAATGGAAATTCTGATCATTTTAATCACAATAACGCACAATTAACAAATGGACAAACAAAAAACAACCACATTGTTAATGGAAACGGTTGCAGGTAAATATTAAATATAATAAAAATTTAACTTTAAATAAAATAATCACATATGACATTATTTAAACTCTGTATTGAAAATTTATAGGCTATATGGAACTGAACCCCGTAGACAAACCAAAAAATCTATTCATAAAACCATACACAGCAATAAAAAGGACATAATAACTGAAAACTGCCTCGTTTCGCCGCCGTCTTTTGATATTTCGCGAATAGAAGCACCTGGGGAAAGATCACGATCTCAATATGATCTTACAGATAGTAGGCATGCGGAAGAGACGGTAAATTTACCTCCACCAAAAGCTTTTAGAGATACCCCCGCTCCTGCCAGACCACCAAAAGCATTTCGTGATCCTATTCCGGATTCAATAGATAATCCACTATATCACGTTTGTGAACAGAGGCTAGCTGAAATTAATTTTAGGTACAATAAAAATATTTAATCATTTATGATATGACAATATTTTATTAAGTTATACAACTATATTCAACGATTCATTATCAGATCAAGGCCGGTATGCAAGTCGAGAAGTAGTGGAGAATTACAAGCGTTATCACGGTCAATAATATCAGTTCCTATTGCAAATAACCATTTGCCAACGTCTAAAAAATTCTCTGAGCGAAATGAAGCTATCACGGAACAAGATGAACAAGAATACAAGGATTTTGTTCGGAAAAGAGAAGAATTTAAACGATTGTTACGTGCGGATTATGCTTCATCACTTTATGCGGATAAGTACGTACTTAACACTATTAAATCACACAAATTATTTATCGCTTAAAATTTTGTTCGAATGTATATAAAAAATTTAGCACTATCAATTTAATGCTCGATAAATATTTGAATAATATTAACTTCCCGTAGGGCAAGTTATAGTAATCGCAAAAAAATTAAAAATGAAAATTTTTATATATCTATACGTTTCAAAGGTTGCTGCATATTTTGGCATACCTTAGAAAAAATGGATGTATGTGTGCGTGTGTGTGTATGTGTCTATGTGCGTGTATGTGTGTGTTCGGATACAAATTTTCGTCGACGATTTCGGGAACACGGATGAAGCGATTTGAATTATTCAAAAAACATTCGATTCGTATTGATAAAGAGACGTGCTGATTAGTTTTTGGCGAAGGCAGGTCCAGCCGTTCCGAAGATACGGGGCAAAAAGTGCCAAAAACGGTAACTCAGTTTTTGAGAGAACGGAGTGTCCGATTTGAATAATTTTTGTATAAGTTCAAATTTTTGGAAAGAAAGGTGCAATAACTATGGAGATATGGAGGAAAAAGTAAAAAAATGAGCCATTTGGCGGTCAAAAATGAACATTAGACATATGCACATCAAATTATTTTATAGAGATTTTAACAATAAGTATAAATTTTGTTTACATTCCTATGAGTTACGTACCAATGTTTACGCGTTAGACGGCGACGCGGCGCTTACGCGCTTTAATATTTCGTCTTTATTCAGTTAAAGCAGTACGATTGCTTTGAAAAAAAGTTTAGAATTTCCAAAATATTTCAAAATATATAATTTGAGATAGAATGATTTAATATGGTTCGAAATTCTATTAAAAGTTTTAAATCATTGATCAACTTTTATTGATTATTATTATTGATTATTTTTAATTACTCGAATTTTGAGTTGCGGTACGGGAAGCTAGAGCAATTTGCCTTAAGGCACGATGCCTTAATTGCCTTAAGACAAAATTCCACTTACAGCTAGTTACATATTGATTTTAAAATGATTTATTTTCAGAAAAGCGTTTGCGTCAGAAAGACCTTACTTTCAGCATCTACTTGGAGGAACTGGCGACGCTGAACGCGCATTGACTCCTGGTAGTGGAGTCCATCTTATCGTTTGCGTCCATGGTCTGGATGGAAATTCTGCCGATCTACGCCTTGTTAAAACATACTTAGAACTCGGTTTGCCCGGCGCTAGGCTTGAGTTCTTGATGTCAGAACGAAATCAAGGCGATACGTTTTCAGATTTTGAAAGTATGACCGACAGGTAAGTGCAAAACAGTTAAATATATGGAGGTAACTACAGTAGAACTCCAATTATCCGAACTCCGACTATCCGAACTCCGACTATCCGAATCGCCGATTATCCGAATCACTTTCAGAAAAAAAAATGTCCAAAAAAAGTCTAAGTGCGCTATTATTCTTCCACCAACAAAGCCAGTGTAGGCACATTGTTTGTTTTGATTTGACGGAGATGTTTACAAAACAATGATTTTTATTTCTAAACTTGTACATAAGTACAAGTTTTATTTACAACATTTTATTCATATTTAAAACATGTGAAAATGTCATGTTTCTTTCATTTAATTCAATAAAAAAAATAGTGTAATATCAAAACGTAACTTTTTTTCTCTCCAATGGCAATTTAAAAAAAAACTCCGATTATCCGAATATTTGATTATCCGAATGGGTCCCGGTCCCCATTAATTCGGATAATTGGAGTTCTACTGTAATAGAATTTAGAAATTGTATTATTATTACAGGCTTGTTGGGGAAATTATGTATCACATAGAAGCGTTAGGTCTAAACCCATCAAGAATAAGTTTTGTCGGCCATTCACTGGGTACTATTATAGTTCGTTCAGCGCTTGCAAGACCTCAAATGAGACCTCTGCTACCGCGATTACATACATTCTTGTCTTTGTCAGGACCACACTTAGGAACCTTATATAATTCGAGTGGACTGGTCAATATGGGTATGCAAAATTTTGATAATATTTTGAAATTAATAGCAACAGTTACAAATTACAATTAAATGCTAATTTTAGGAATGTGGTTCATGCAAAAGTGGAAGAAATCTGGCTCTTTGCTGCAGTTATGTTTAAGAGATGCTTCTGATGTCAGACAATGCTTTTTGTATCGATTAAGTGAACGAAGTACTTTACACCATTTTAGACATGTACTACTTTGTAGTTCTGGTCAAGACAGATACGTTCCAGCGCATTCTGCTCGGCTCGAACTATGCAGGTATGTTTTTAATAATCATAAAGTTCGTATTTGAAATGTAACATATTTAATTTAATTCAAAAATGTTGATTGTAGAGCTGCTGCTCGAGACCCATCACCTGCCGGAAAAGCATACCGAGAAATGGTGCACAACATTCTTTCACCAATGCTATCAAGAAGAAGTCTTACTTTAGCTAGATATGATGTCCATCATGCTCTGCCAAACACAGCCAACGCACTCATAGGAAGAGCTGCACACATCGCAGTCCTCGATTCTGAATTATTTTTGGAAAAGTTCCTTTTGGTTGTTGGTTTAAAATACTTTAGTTGAGGCACAATGGTATACATATAAGAATCGAAGGTAGGGTATTAAATAATCTTTTTGCTATTTATTTTCGGTAATAATCTCAAAAGGATAATATTTTGAAGTCATTATTATTTAGTCGTAAAATTATATTTGCAGGGTGTCCCTGACTTCGACGTCAAGCCGAAAAGGTGCGATAGTATTGACTTTAACTGTCCTGAAAAAATTTAGAAAAGGAAATTATCTCACGTTGTTTGAGCGCAACCTAGTAAAACTTATGACCATTTTTCGGTTATTGTGGTTAATTTTTACTAATTCTGTTTAATTAAACTTTGGAACCATAATCGTGAACATTTCTAGGACCACAATAAAAATTAATAACACAATTACCCCACGTTTTTATGAAGGCCAATACTATCGCCCCGTTTCGACTTAACGTTAAGGTCTGGGACACCCTGTATAAATTGTGAATGAAACTGTTTCCTATTTTTGGAAATTTTGATTTAGTATGTTTGTAGTAATTAACGTGATAAAATGTATGATGAAAATTTACTAAATCCCTCTAAATAAGAGATCTCAAAAAATAATAAGGAATATATGTTTGTCATGTTTTGGCCTAATTGGTTTGTGATAAAATGCTTATAGTCACATTATTTTCGTAGTCAATACCAAGACCAAGCGTCTTTTATAGTTTGATTTTGTAGCTTTTCAGATGTTATTCATAATTTTAATTTATCAAAATAGTATTAGTAATAGAAAACATATGGATTTTACCAAGTCTTAAACAATTGAAGTTTTTAACTGTATGTGATTTTACTGATAAACCAAATTTTTTATAATATGCACAAAACGTCCGTAATGAAATTTATTGCACCACATAGAACTAAATAAGAATTTTTTATAACGATAGACTTTATATGTAAAGTAATTTACGTCTAAATATATTGTGTATTAAATTTTTTATAATTAGTCTAATTGAGTAATAATAGGCAAAGTAACTTTTCATCTTTTATTCCTAGGCAGATTATTTCTTATAATTTTTCTATTTCATGAATTTGATATTTGATATCGAATAATATTTAAACAAATATGTCGATCGAGTATCTACGGATAATTATTCTTGTACAAATTGATCAATTTTTTTTATCAATTAGTTTGTTCATTATTGTATTATACGCTATATAAATAGTTATTATATATATTTTTTATTTATTTATCTTTAGTTTCTCTTGAATTAAGTAGTAGAAAATTTAATATGTCTTACATATGCTTTTATGCATTAAATGTTATATTATAGATGGCCTCTTCGAAAGACTTTTAATAATAAACAAATAGAAATAATTTAACTAGTTGGGTGTAAATATGAAACGTAATACTAGTCTGTATGTAGAATCAAAATTACGAGCTTTGAAAAATGTGGTATTTAGGTATTTAAACTAACATTTTTATTAGATATAACTAGGAATACTATTATATATGCTTTCTAGCTGTTTATTTCGTGAGCAATAAGAACTGTACAAAATGTCATAAGCAATATTTTTAGTTCTGATTAACATTTTTGGCATGTGAGAAATGCAAACCACGGAAAATGATTAATAGTTACATAAAATAATAGATTTTTGATTAAAGCTATTACATACATATTTGCAAAAATAGACTAATAATTTGAAGTAATGGCACCCGAATTATATATTTTAAAATTTGGTATAGTATCAAAAAGATTTTTTTGGATTATTAAATGTATACAAATATTTAAGGAAATGAATGCGCATTTAAATAATTTTTACTTTTAATGGTAAATGCAAAAAATAATACTCTGGATTACTGAAGTAAAGTACGATTTTTAGGTTTTAATAAAAACGTAGATAATTTTGAGGAAATACAGATGTAATATAAAATCTTAAAAATAATGACCAAACATCGAAAAAAATATGTATTCAAATTTTCCTCCAAAAAATTTTTATATGGGATCGTTCAAGTATTACGTAAGCAGATTTATTACAATTATTTACCCTCCCCCACTCCCCTTTGTCATCAAAAGTAAGCAAATTTCTTAGCAAAAATGCCAAAAATAAGCAAATCAATAACCCCCCGCCCCCCTATAGTGCTTACGTAATACTTGAACGGCCCCTATTGCTAATTTTTATTATTCAATCAAAAGTAGCTACTTTGTTAACAATTTGTTTTTAGTTAAAAAACATAAAAAATGATAACGAAGAAATTTATTACATCATTGCTCCTACTAATCTCATTATGATAAAAAAAATATATGTGAGATTTTTAAAAAAATATTCATGTTTTCTAGTAATATCAATATCACAAAATTTCTAAATTGGGCAAAACATCACTAGCAACAAATTCAACAATCTTAAATAAAATGAAACAAAAATTGATAGTCAATATTAATTATTAAGGAAAATTTATTATAGAGTGTTTTTTAAATATACATAAAATAAATTATAGATAAATTTTAATATATACGAGTATCTTTAGAACAAAGCTTATTATCTATGTTATTAATTTTATGCACACAGAAAACTTTTACAGAAGTTAACAATGTTGATATAATATATGAAACATATATTGCAGTTAGATGTATATTTAATGTAATGAGATATTTATAAGAATTTACAGTATTTTAATCGATTGTTTTTTTTTTCAAAAATATTATTAACATGATTCAATACTCAAGACTGACATCTTCATAAAATGTATTCGGGATTATCCTTTATTTTATTTATGTAAGTAGTTAGCAGTTGCAAAATAAATATTGTAGATTACTCTAGTTATTATTAATAACTTCATAATTTTAACAAATGCGCTTGTAGCTAAAATATTCTGATTTTATATTAGTTTGGGATTAAAAAATGTGAATTTTATTGTAATATTGACGATTAAATAAGGCACATTGCTTCTATTTAAATTACCATTAAAATTACACGTCATTTAAGTTTTGGACATTGCTTTGAATTTCCGAAAGTTCTAATTTATAAAGATGTTTTTGAGCAAACTCTATATTTCAAAAATAAAAGAATTTAGAAAAACAAAATTAGATTAAATTGAATACAGTCAGAGTATTTTTCAGTAAGTTTTCAAAAGATATTAAACATTAATTTAGAGTTTTACATATTTGTAAAATTAAGTTTTATTAAAGATATAAATAAGTTTTCATTAGAATGAATATTAAATAAATCCATTCTTAATTATTTTTAATAAAAGAATTAAGAAAGATTTAATTTTTGAGTTTTTTGCTTAATTATTTTATTATGTAATAAAGTTCATATCCAATCCAGGTATTGTGTGATTAATTGCTCTTATTTGCATAAAATAGTTATTATGAAAACATGTCAATTTAAATATATCAGTCTGATTATAAAGCGTAAATTAATACGACTTTAAATCAAATATATTAATATTTTCAACTTTATAGGAATACATGAATTTGTTGCGTATGAAATGACTTTAGACATAATTTGAGTACAGGACTTATTTATAAAAAATAAATGCCTCAGTTGTATGTACTATATATACAATATCATAAAGTATAAATATAATATGTATAAAAACCATTAATTTTTTATTTCATTGATAATAATATTATATATCATAATTACTATATTAAGCACGGTAATTTTTGTTAAGATCCATGGTGATACAGCATTTACCTTAAAAAGGTAATATATAGACAATTCCATATATAATTCAAATAAGTCAAATTATCGAATTTCTTATTACTGAAAATAATACTATGGAGTTAAGACATCAGAACATATAAAGAAGTATTCTTTAGAGCCGAATTGAGAAAATAAGCTATTATTATATAAATTCTAGTGTTTCTTGATTACATATACTTTATTTCATAGAAAGATTTATAAGATCAGCAGCGTATCTAGGTATAATCTTAAACATGGTAATTGTAATTTTTTATTTTAGCTAATATATTTTTTATCATTGTTTTGTTACACGATCTATTTTATAAGCTTAAATAAATAGTTTAATTTTTAGTTTATCATTATGTACATATTTAGGCAAAGAGAATTGAAAAATTAATCAGATTTCACTCAGTACGACTCTGATTTAGTAGACCAAAAAAAATCCTCAACTATTTTATGGGACATTATTTAGAAAAATTATTTTCAAACGTTATGAATTGCATCTAAGAATCGAAGTCGTATTTAAGTGATGTTTATTCATTGATTAACTAATAATTAGTGTATATTAGTAATTAAACTTTTGCAAAATAAAATAAAATTGAAATGGACTCCATATTAATATCAAATAGTATATTAAACAGGAATTTGTTGTTTTTGCGCGCCCTTTTTCTAGTACATTACAAGGGTGAGAGATTCGAAGGCTTGATTAGAATTATGGGATACATTGTTTTAATAATATATACAATTTTGAATGCCTTTATGTACATATATTTGTTCATACATTGGGATGAGGCTTTAAATATGATGTTAACTTGGGGTACCTGCCTCATGCAGACCGTAAACCTGACTAAAATTTATACTTATTTGGTGAATCAGGATAAATTTAACAAACTAATGCTTTCAATGTACAAAGAAATGGACTTCGTGGAGAACTATGGAAACAAAGGATCAAAAGACATCATGAAACGCTTCATTATTTTGTATAAAAAGATTAGTACTGTAATATATATATGGACGACTCCTATAGCAATTTTTTATTATGCATATGTTATAGTCAGCTTTGCAGTTTGGAAGAATGTTCAAGTAATGCCTTTTCATTTGTGGCATCCATATGATGAGAATAAATATTGGTACCTCAATATTATTTTACAAATAATCATTACAACAGTCGGTATCCATGGATTTTATACGAATTATTCGTACATCTTGCTGTTTTTATTTTATGGCAAGTGCAAAATGGATTTACTAAATTTTCGCATAAAAGACATCAAGAACGTTACTGTTGATCCCCAGGAGGATGAAGCAGAATTGATGAAAAAAAGATATGATTACGTTTGCAGATGTGTTCAGTATCATTTGGAATGTATTGAGTAA